CATGACCATTGCCAATCAAGAACATACCTTGTAGTTTGGAAGGCTAGAGAGACTTCTGCTATCAATTGCTGGGCATTCCAGAAAGATATATGAGTGCTTCAAAGATTTTTATTATTATTTACGCTCTTCATGTGCAGGGGCCTACAGGGGTGGCAGCATCAGATTCTCTGTATCTAGCATTGCAGGCAATTTGTGATTCATCTGACATGAGTGTTGGGATCGGAACTTGGGTCTTCTGGAGTAGGGATTTATCTTAAGCACTGAGTACTGAGCACGTGTATACACATGCTGTTATTTAGGAATAATTCACTCTGAACTTTAGAGAAGATTCATAGGCCTTGGAGAAAGAGAGATGCTGATAAGCAACATATGTTCTAGAAACCTTGACTGTTAATGGCTAAGATGCATTGCTTTTGAGGGACAGAAACACATTTTAGAATTAGAAAGTAAGGGATTCATGCATTATTTTGTGAATACTAGCAAAGCCTACTTTCAAAAGGTAAATTTTGTGACATTTGAATATTATTTTAATCTGTAATTTTAAAGTATGTTATGTACCATACACATAAATTGCAGCAAATTTTGTTACATATTCAGAGTTGGAGTAATTTGATATAGCATGAAAGGATACAGCAGGTTGATTGAGGATTTCAAATCCTTCATGGAGTGAAATGGGGAAACATATATCCATTCTGCAGATAAGAAGCCAAGTACAAAATCAGTGTAATGAGCCCAAGAAGCTTCAGATCTGGGGCTTCATGTCTGGCCTTCATTGAGACAATATCCAAATTCTTCTACTTTATCCCACTGGTTCCAAGAAAATATATTCCCTGGAATGTAGGAATAAGATGAATGGGAGCAACCATCACTTGGATTTGTTTCTGCAGAAAGTTTTAAGTTTTGGAAAGCCCCATCTCTTCATTTCACTCATTTTTTCTTAGAGCATCCCAGTGAGACAGTTAGTTGTATATGTATCTGAGGGGTGGGGCATCACCTAGCTGCAAAGGGATAAAGGGAAAGAGACTTTACCTGCTTTTTTTTTTTTTTTAGATTGTGTAGGGGATGCTGTGTTGTCTTTCCCAGGTATTCAAGTATCTCCTTTGCACTTCCATTTCCATTTTCAGCATCATCTCTCTCTAAACTCTTCTATGCATCTCATGTCCCCAAGCAAGGGAAATTTTGAAGTGAAACCCTAGAGATGTGGGACCCAGGGACTTTTAAAAACAAGGATTGGAATGATCTGGCCTGTCTATTAACTATTGAAGTGAGTGCTGCCTGTTTTCTCCTTTGTAGAAAGAGAAGGTCTGTGTTTCCATTGTACCATGCTTGTCTAGATTAAAGCCACTTAAGTCATTATCTCCCCTGCATTCATGAGGGAGCTTTGATGTCCTTCTCACCGTCCTAACTTCAATAAGGGTCCAATTCTCATCCTGTTTGGCAGGGTGAGAATCTGACTCAGGATTTGTAAACAGTGCTATGCTTCCCTTTCTTTCCGGGGGTCATTTTCTTCCCCTGCAGACAGAGGAACAGCAGCAGCACTAGGTTTCAGCTGAGAAGTCAGGATGCATTAACCTAAGCTGTAAGATCAGAACAAAAGCTCTGTTTGTGATCTGCCAGAGCCCAGTTGAGGCAGTCCCTGCTGGTTCGCTGCATTCAAGAGGCATAAATATAATTAGATCTTCCAGAATGAAAAGGAACTGGGACTTAGCAAATGGAAATTTTAAGGAGTAACTGGCCTTTTTCCTTATTTCTCTGCAGTTTGGTTAGCTTTGAGGGAACTGCAGGAAACAGCTATCTACCTACTGATCAGTTATTTCCTTATCACTATTTAAAGGATTGGGACTTCCTGAAATAGGTCCTGATAATCTTGGAACATTTTCCCACCACTGATGGGCTCAGTCCTGGAGTAATGACACTTGGATTTGATCTTTATCTTACCAGGCTACTAATTGGGTAATAATAATAATACCTAAGTCATTGAAATTTTGTAACTATTAAAAGAAGCATATCTCTGATATACCTAGATCAGTGCTTGCCAATGGGAACCCTCCCTGAACTGGAGCAGAGTGATAATCATGACAAGATTTAGGTGTCAAAACCATTTGACACCAGGTATTTCCAACTTTGGGATTATGTAGACAAATGTTGGAGTAACTTTTGGAATCTAGGTCATATCTGGGTTTTGGAGCATGTGTACGAGTTATCTTAGTTGATGCAGGTGGTTTAAACCAGGTTCCTCCATGGATCTCTGTGGTTGTAATTGTTGGATGCGATGGGCAAAAGCTTTACTTTGCAGAAGGAAAGTGTCTATGAAAATGTCCTTCAGACTTCAGAAGCAGCAGGATGTGTGGGGCTAGCAGCAAGTCACTGTAAGAGCTGGTGGACCTTCACTGGAATTTTACACTTGATTCTTACTTTGTGAATTTGAATAGCTCTCTGGGAACCACACTTTCTTTTTGCATAAAGAAAAATGAATGGAAAGCAGTAATGGCCTTTACTAACTTGCAGGGCTGAGGACAGACTTGCAATTTTTGCACCATGAAAGAAATTGCATTTGTTTTCTCCTTCCCCAAAGTAATATAGTACCATGCAGAAGAGTAGGAACTGTGGAAATATGTTGTATTAATTATGTCAATTAATTTGCAACTTCAGTCAAGTAATTTTGCCCCATGGAGTTTCCATTGTTTTAGCTTTCAAAAAGGCTGTCTTAGCTTGCATCTGTAGCAAAATACCACATGTTAGGGCTCAATACACTAAGAATTTTACCCTAATGTCTGAAAAAATCACAATTCACAGAGTCCTCAGGGCTCAAATCAAGTTGCAGGCAGGGCTGGAGGGCTTTGTTCCATCTGAAGACCAAAGAGAATAATCCATCCTCTTGATCTTGTCCTTTTGACATCCCAGATGCCTCCTTCCTCCTTTGGATCATGGTCTCTTCCTCTACCTTCAGAGAGAATCACTACAACCTCCCTTCTCCCACCCTTCCTTGTGCCTCCAACCTTCCTATTGCCCTTTCTGTGTGATTTCATTGAATACACCAGATCAATCCAGGTTAACTCCCCAATCTCAAGATCTTTTTATTTATTTGTTTATTTTTCAGAGGTAAGATTTTACAGTGTAGCTCAGGATGACCTCAAGTTCACTATCTTCCAGTCTCAGCTATCAGGTGCTGAGATTACAGGAATGAACTACCATCAAAATCCCTAAGTCAACTCTATTGGTAAAATCTCCTTTGCCATATAAGATCACATATTCAAAAATCCTTAGAATTTATTTTGAGGTGTCTTTGAGGAACTACTATTATTTCTATAATAGGAACACAAATTGCACCAATTTATAAGACAGTTGCAAGGATCAGATGAAATATTGCAAGCAAAGCATCCATCCAGATTTGTAATGATACGGCATGAGGGGGCCCTGGCTGGCCCAGCCAAGGTGGGGGAAAAATGCCATGCAGATGCAGTGGTGCGCTGTGGTGCACAGAAAGTCACCCCAGGCACTGCGTCTATGTGGAGAGAGAGTTTCTTATAATAGGAAGATAGAGAGAAAGACAGGGAAAGAGGGAAGGAGAGAGGAAGAAAGAAAGGAGGGAAAGCAGAGGTGTGCACACTTCATGGCAGGGAAAGGAGGAAGGGGAAGAGAGAGATCAAAGGGGGAGGAGATTTTTCTTAAAGGGACCTTAGGATGACATCAGGAAGATGCTGGGTGGGTCTCCAAGGGGCTGGTCATAATACTAACAAGATTCCCCAACACACACTAATAACTCACAAAACAATTTGGGATTATTGATAATGACACCTGCTTACACACAGCTTGTAGTCAGACAGATCTCTATAGCTTTGTGCTCTGACAGCCCTTCTGTCTGTTCAGTAATGGCTGGAGGTTGTTTTAATCCTGAAGGGAAGCTAGTTTGCAGAAAGGGTATTGTCTGGATGAAACTCCTGTAGCAGATTATCTTGGCCAAGTGTTGCCTCTTTTTTGAGCCTTGGCTTTTGTTTGTAAACTCAGAGAAGTTGGTGGGGACTGGAGGGGGGTTGCCTCTGGGGTTTTGTGTTCCACTGAAAAATCTATGAACTATGATAAGTGGTACCAAGAGGATCAATGATGTGTGCTTGGTATTATAGTAGGTTAACTGGCTTCCTAGTGCAAAATAATGACAGTAGCACAGCAGAAAAAAACTGTCATTCTTTGCAGCCACTGGTAGAGTTACTATTAAGGCTTCCCAATCATGAGTATTCCTTTTTCAAGGGCAAGCAATGCCATGTAAGAAAGGCTAGATTTGGATCCTTTAAAAAAAAAAATGTCTTTAGGTGGAATGGGTCAGTAGTACAGCTGAGGACATGAATTCAGGTTTGCAAGGCTAGGGATAAAGCTGATTTTTTCTGTTAGAAATAATCACATTCTCTCTTGATAAATGACTGAATAGGCAAAATGTAAAAAGAGAAAGAAAGACAGTGAGATTTCAATGGCATGCTGCATACATCCCTGGTACTTAATTCCTAACGCGTTGGCCATTGTGGGGAAGGAGATCAGAAAGAAATACTGAATCATTTGCCTAGTACTCTGAAGCTGGTGACAAAAGGCAGGGCTTGAGCTGATCCTTTACATCCAAATAGAGATTTTTGATCTTCAGTAGAGGACCTTCCTTCTCCAAGATGTCATGCTTGTCTCTCATGGGATTACACACATGGCAGGCCCTAGAATGGGACTCAGTTGGTCCCTTAAGATCTCTACTTTCTCCCTAACTGACAGATGCCCAAGGTCACAATATATCTTGTTTCAGTGTTTTCTTTTTAAAACATCTTCATCTGCCCTGTAACCTTAGTTCTGCTGTGTGTCTTACTATCTTATATTTCGTTCTTTCTAGTTTTAGACAGAGTCAAATGACTGCTTGATTGAATTTAAGATTGTGATTTAAGCATCTCAGCGACCCTTATGTTCAAAGTTCATCGCCCATTAAGGGTTGGAAATAATTCTTGTCACTTGTCTTTGAATTTAACCCTTTTGGGTTCTGTCTTGGGAGAATATGTGAAGCTTCTGAAGTTATCAGAAGACATTTCATTGCAGAAGCCTAGAATATGCCTCTTTACATGATTTGTGGTGTGCAGTGATGTGTTACCACAAAGAGAAGAACTGGCATTTATTTTGTGACTTGATGTTATCTCCATCAGTAGATTTGAATACAATGATTTCTAATGTTTACACAAAATTCATTTCTTTCACCAAAAACAGCAAACTATGTGGGGGAAAATAGTCAATATTCCTACAAGCAGCTGTGGTTTGAATCTAGAATCTCCTAGTTTTCTTGCATTCCAAAGCCAACCCTATGCAGCAAACAACACATCATACCTCTGATCTGGTAAAAGCCACAGGATAAATCAAGCAATTCTTTTTTTTTTCTTCATTAACTTTAATTTTTTTAAATTCATTTTTACATACCAACCACAGATCCCTCTCTTATCTCCCCTCCTCATCTCTCCCACCCCTCATCCCCTTCTCCACCAGGGTAAGTTCTCCCATGGGGAGGCAGATAAGCTTGGTACATTCAGTTGAGGCAGGACTAAGCTTCTCTCCACTTTATCAAGGATGAGCAAGGTGTCTGACCATAGGTAATGGGATCCAGAAAGTCAGCTCATGCACCAGGGATAGATCCTGATCACACTGCCAGGGCCCCCTCAAACAGACCCAGCTATACAACTGTCTCCCTTATGCAGAGGGTCTGGTCCCTGCAGGTTCCACAACTATAGGTCTAAAGTACGTGAGTTCCTTTGGGCTTTGTTCAGTTGTCTCTGTTGATTTCCTCATCATGATCTTGACCTCCTTTTGATTTACAAAGTAAATGATAAAACAAACTAAAAGTAACATGGCTATTAAAAGAAACTGAACAGATTAGGCCGTTTGCAAAAGTCCAATCATTAAAACTAAAATCTTAAGATCATTTGATGAGGGCTATAGTGATATGACTTTGGGTGAGTAATAAAACCTTTGAAAGCTTCGAACTGGGCAGTGGTGGCTCATGCCTTTAATCCCAGCACCCGGGAGGCAGAGGCAGGTGGATCTCTGTGAGCTCGAGGCCAGCCTGGTCTACAGAATGAGTTCCAGGACAGGCTCCAAAGCTACACAGAAAAACCCTGTCTTGAAAAAAAGAAAACAAAAAAAATCCTTTTAAAGCTTCAATTCCTTCATCTATAAGATGTGAATAACATGAGTAAAATCCCATGAAACTGGGAGCACATTGATGAAAGGAGTGTTTTGATCACTCCGCATAACACTGGGCTTCAGATAAGAACTTCACAACTTTACGTCACTGTCATCACTGGTTTTCTGCTCATTCTGCACATCATTCTGCACATCAGGGACACTGAAAACTAGTCTCTGTGAGAGGTACCTTTTCATTTCTTGAGAAAAGATTTCCAGCATCTGTTGCTTGAGTTTTCCTGCCTGGCCCACAGTCAGTACAAATCTCTCTCACCTGCCAGTCCCACAGCCGTCAGACCCAACCAAGTAAACACAGAGACAGAGACTTATATTGGTTACAAACTGTATGGCTGTGGCAGGCTTCTTGCTAACTGTTCTTACAGCTTAAATTAATCCATTTCCATTAATCTATACCTTGCCACATGGCTCGTGGCTTACCGGCATCTTCACATGCGGCTTGTCATCATGGCGCCTGGCAGTGTCTCTCCGACTCAGCCTTCCACTTCCCAGTTTTTTCTCCTCCTTGTCCCGCCTATACTTCCTGCCTGGCCACTGACCAATCAGTGATTTATTTATTGACCAATCAGCAACACATTTGACATACAGACCATCCCACAGCAAGCATCAGCTCTATTATCAATTAACAACTGTTTACTCTCTAGAATCTGAGCACTAAAGACTATAACTGGCTTATTCTTTGCTCCATTGATTAAATGAGGAGAAACATAACCCTCACCTTTGTCATTTAGTTCATGTATAAAATGATCAAATGTTCATAAAAGTTCTTTGTCAATTACCAAGTACACCAGAACATGATATATTATCTTAATTTCTCTACTAAAGATATGCCATAAATAGTATAGATACTACTGGCATTCATAAAGCATTTGTGTCTTGTTAAGCAAGTATGTATAAACCATTAGCAGATGGGCTGGTAATGCAACCTTCTAATTTCAGCTTCAGTACCTGTTCATTAAGACCCACTTTCTAGCAGTGGCCTTCCAGTAGATGCTGTGGATGCTAGCAGGCCATAGGTCACAATAGTTAGTTGTGACATCCTGTGGTTCCACTGGGTTTGGATTCCAACAACTGATGTACTTTGTGACTTAGTCTGATTGCCAACCATCTTCTGGATTCCACTTCCTCATTTGCAAAATAAAGGTAGAAATACCAACCTCATTGAGAACCTAAGGAGAGTAAAGAAGATAGTGACCACAAAGCTACAGGATATTCCTTAGTGTAAGGGACCAGAAAACCTCCTAACTACAGCTGAATGCTTTTCTGTGATTGACAGATAATCTCTTTTCTCTTGTCAGGCCATTCAATAAAACACTAATGAGTTTGTGTCCTCCCCTTTAGTTGGGTTCCCAGGAGCTCAAGGTCACAGCCATCTGAGTTCTGCCTCTCCACTTCTTGTCTTTCACTGGCTCAGTTGAACGTCAGGTTCTCCAAGTCAGTTCCAACATAGTGCGATTTCTGCAGGTTCCAATGCCTCTTCTTGGTAAATTGAGAAATGGGAAGAGAATGAGAATGGAAGAAATGGAGCAGAACAGATCAACCATTAAGTCAGTATGCACAGTCATTCCCTATAAATGACAAAGGACCTGTATAAACTCTATCCACATGACCAGTCAGCTCCCTGTAGCCCAGCTAAACCCGAATTGATGCTACTAGAAAAAGAATTAAGGGAAATGTAACATCATTAAATTTGGAGGTCAAGGCCTTGATGCTGATAATCATAGAAGACAGTTATTTATTGAGCATTTATTATATACAATAACTACTATAATGTTATAAAATTACCTCATTTGACTCTCATATTAATGCACAATAATTTCAGTTTCCAAATAAAGAATAACAAAGTGGGTTCTTGGTCAGACTGCAGGGAGCTAGTGGTGAGTGGGCAGGATGCCTGGGAGATGAGGGACATCAGAGCACTAGGCTCTTCTCCAGTCTAACTCAGTCTGCAATTTGTCCTTCTCTGTTTGTATTAGTGTCTCGTGGTTGCCATAGTGACAAAATACCACTCAGTTATGACTTAAATAACTGAAATTTATTGTCTCTCAGTTCTGCAGAAAGTATCAAGTCAAACTCTAAGCAGAATTGGTTTCTTCCGTGCGCTTTGAGGAAGAGTGGGTTCATGCCTTTGCCTTCATTTCCAGAAGCTTCTCACTTGCCTTTATTTGTAACCAATCATTTCCTGATGTCAGTTCCCCCCTTTTCTATTGCTATCAGTCATATTAGATTCTCTTACTGAATAATTCGATAGTTTATCTTAACTTGACCATTTACAAAGATCCTATGTTCAAATAAGTCCATATTCAAGGTATTATGAGTTAGGACATCAACTTTTGGGATGATAAATTTGACATTGTAATATCATTCAATCTTATTTCTAGATATTCCTTTCAGGCACAAATATATGGGATTTTTTTTTTCTTTGCACCATCATTTATCAAACACCTACCGAAGTGTGCTTACATACACAATACTATGCCCCGGTAGACATAAGGTGACAAACTCAGTACCCTGCTCTTTATCTTTATGAAGAATCTCATGCTGATCATAGTACCAGAGCTAGACTTTCCATCATTAACACTGAATGGCTTATCTAGGGAGAAAAAAAAGTGAGCTCAACTTAAATTTTCTCAATAAACCTTGAGAGAATAACCAGAAGCCCAACATTAATATTTGATGGCTCTTATGTGCATGTTCATAGTTGTGATTTCTGTGTGGCTTTGAAGAGTTCTTGTCACTCTATGTGTGGTGAGATGTCATTCCAGGCCTCTCAGACCATGCCTCACAAGCAGGATGGGCTCAACCAGGGCATATCACTTATTAGATGGTAGAGTGATTAGCCTGTGCTCTGCTTAATTAAGCCTTAGTTAATGGGCAAGCGTTTCTTTTAACAGGCTTGCTGTCACTTCATCAGTTATTTAAGGCAGTTCATTTCACAGCAGGGGGAAAAGAAAGAGAGGAGGAAAAAAATCCTCATTTGCTCAAACTCAATTGGTTTGAGGAAAAGCGTGGCTGTCTCGAAGGTGCCTAATTGCTGCTGTGATCATCTGCTTATTCTCTATTTAGTCCCAGCATTCTTATTGAAACGCTAATCAGGCTTAGGTCTCACCTCTTGATGAATGATTTTGTAAAAACTTGATATTCGTCATCTTAGCTAGGAATGTCTGCATGCAAGTCTAATGCGGCTGAGGCTGAATGGGAGGATAACTAATGCCCTTAATTTTGCAAAGAGGCCCATGATTTGATACATACAGGGCAGATCAGGGGAAATCAGAATGAAATTAATTTCCTTCTTTGCATAGGCATCACCTCTGTTATATCAAGAGCTACTTTTCTTCGGATGTTTTTGCTGGAGCTTCAGAGAATGAATGCTTGGCGTATATGTGTGGGATTATTTCTGTCACTGGGGTCAAATTCAGGTTATGCCCTTTTATCTGGTGTCAGAAGTTGGGGAACTTAAAGTTATCTAATTCTGTGTGTCAAGGGAGGGATAACAATCACCCTCTCACAAGACTGCAAGGATCAAATATAATTCATGCTTCTAGCTCAAGGTCTAACATGGTTGATGTACAATATAACACTCACTCTTCCAATGTGTTCTCTGTTTGCTCCTGCACTAGCTCTCAAAAGGTAAAACACAGATATTTTGTTAACTTCAAATAGTCAAGACACATCCTTAGTCTGAGACACTGATGCTGTGCTCATTCTGGGTTCTAGTTTAATGCATCCAAATGAACATTGGACAACTGAAACAGTTTAATGCATCCAATTACTTTGACTCATAGACACAAGCATGATGGACATTTGGCTTTTCTTCTGCATGCTTATCGGACTTTTTATCCATCTTTGCCAGCTTCAGCATAACTATTTTCTTTACTCATATTCATCAAAAAGATATAGTTGCTGATGTTATTATTTTATTTATCACTTAGTAATCTCGTGTGTTTTTCACTGCCTGTCCACATATGTTGCCTTACCCCTTTCCTGTACCTTGCATAGTCAGTACTTGTAATTCATAGGCTTGAATTCTGGTGATCACCTATACACAGGATCTATTTTCAGTGTTTTATGTATTTGATTATGTTGTTCCTTCTGCCTGGAGTACTATTCCTTGCAACATTTGGTTCCTTTGCATACATCAAAATTTAATCCAAACATCCCTGTTTGCCCACTAACCCATCCCTGATTAACTGCCTGTTAGCAGTCTGCTTTGTATGACTCCCCTCTGAACCCTGCATTGGCCCTCATCAAAGTACTTTTTACATTGTAGTTGCACTTATCTAAGATCTGGTCTGCCTCCCAGCCTACCCCATCAAGTTATCTTCTAATTTTCTAGCTACTTTCACAAGATCTCACCCTCTTCTCTCTGTGTCTCTTACCTTGCAATACCAGGTTCCCACCCAGCAGCCCAAAACTTGGGAATGAATACATTTCTGCCACTTTGCAATACCTGGTAATAGATATCTATCTATGAGTGCTGCTTCCTGAAAAGACCTCAGAAGTTGTTCACTAATCATGTATGGCAGTGCTCCTAATGAGATATAAATGATCTTGACTCCAGGATTACAGTATCAGTTGTTTCTGAAAACTGTGTCAACCCAGAGGATGAAAGAGAACCCCTAATTCCTCAACCAATTAGCATCAAAGATAATCCTTTCATCCTTAGGTCTTTTACATTTCAGGTCATCTGTCAATAGGAAGGGCTTTTCTCCTTTCTCTAGGGAAATCAGATTTCAACTGAAGTTCTTTGACCTCAGAATGGTGGATGCAAAAAGTTCCCAAACTGTCAGCTTTTCTCCAGATGAGATCTCCTCTGTGCTGTGAGGCAGCCTCTTTGGGGATGAGACAGAGCATCTTCAGTTCACAGAGATGAGAGTTGGAAAGAAACTGACTCTGAGATTTAGAATTATAGTAATTTGGAGCTTGAAGGTTGGTTTACCTGGCTCAGTTCATTGTTTTAGTTTCCAATTGGGCTAATAGACAAAATATAGAATACCAGTTAAAATTGGATTTCATGTAGAATCAGTGATTTTTTTTTAGTATAAATCTCCCAAACTATATGAATATCAAGGAACAAAACCATTAAGAAAACACTAGTGCTACTTACCTAGTACAGAAATTTAATTAGAAGACTGGTATTTAAATTTCTAAACCTGATTCTATTTCCCATGCATGTTGATAGCTTGGGCCTTATTATAGGAGAGTCTTGTTATAGCAGATATGATAAAGTTTTTGAACCATTAGCTAGCTAGACTTTCTGAGGCCCAAGCCACTATTTGTTGTTAAAGTCTTGTGATCTGGAGGGGGAGTCTTTCAAATCCATTAAAAAATGCTTTTTGCAAATTGGTGATGATTATTGTTAGGATACCTAGAAGTCTTTTTTATTTCATCAAAGTCAGTGTTAGTTTATTATGGTCCCCAACTCTAGAAAGATGAGTCATCTTAAGATAGTTGGATCAAGACTATTTGTGATAACTTTCTCAGTTATTCTTGCTACAAACGTCAGGGGAATTTTTTTTTCAAACACATCACATTATTATATGTAATAATGGAAACTTTGTTGTGTAGAACACTGAAAAAGAGGCAAAAAGAAATCTGCCATGCAGAACCGAAATCACACTATAGAACAAGGAGAAAGCATTAATGGGGAAGCTTTTCATTTGGCCCAATATGTGGTGGACAGTCTCACCATATAAACTTTGAGTTTCGCAGGCCCACCAAGTAGTTGATTCAAAGTTCTTCAGTAATTGGTGAGGGAAAGAATTGCCATCACTCTTCTGCAACCGCAGTGTCTCCTCTTTGAGCTCTCCTTGTTCCAGGATGGCTTAAGGGGAGAAAGAAAACCACATCATTACAGCAAAGCCTTTATTACTCTTTGTAGAACTTCATTTTCATCTTTTCTCATTTGTATTCTCAAAGTTCAATGCCAGTGCCAAGTATTTTTTGTATTTGTATTTGTTTGAAGAAGAATTTTCTTCTTTAAAATATTTTTAACAACATGTCTACTGTGTTTTCTCTGATCCCAGGAACACTTATTTCCTTTGGCTCTTGGTTAGATGCTGCCATACTTCACTCAAAGTGACACCTCCATCCCTCCATTTCAAGAAGCCAATACTCTGCTCACTATATGTTAATTAGGGTAACACTTAAATCTTTCTTATTCAGGAGAAAGGTTTTACTTAAATATAGTTTACTTGCACAAAAAATGTTTTATTGTGATAAAAACTCCATAAGGTTTACCTTGCATTTTAAAAAAAGTATTTGTAGTACTGCTTACTATAGATACAATATTGTATAGCAGGTCTCTAGAAATATGCTCATTTTGTTCCACTGGCATTTGCATCTGTTGATTAATTAATTAATAAGTCCCTCATCCCCCTCCTAACTCCAAACAGCAATTATTGTTTAATATTATTAATTTCAGTCTTTAAGATACTTGATACAAATGTGACCATGTGGAATTTGTCTCCTTTTGATTATATTATTTCATTCTATATCATATCCTGAAGATGTTTTCCATGTTGTTGCATATTGTGCAAGAAGATCTCAAAACTCGCCCAAGCACTAAGAGCTGGGCATTTGTTTTGGTGGTTATATGATCTAGAAAATATTAACAGAAGAAAAGCACTTGTACTGAACAGCAGTGGAGAGCTCAGTTCATCCTGTACCGTGGCATTCAATAGCATCTTACAAAGATGCAGCCATAGAGTCAGCTGCAGAAAGCAGGGAATGGAAAGACAGTGATGCATATGGACATATGCATCTTGGAGAGGGTGGTGGTGGTGCTGTTTGTAGATATAATAACTTTAAAACTACAAACACTCTTAAGATCCTTAGACTCTTTGACCTGGTTCATCCACAGAATGCTCACTTGGGGATGGTGCATTGACACAGCAGAGATACATAGACACAAGCAGGACACAGCTTGTCTCTTCCATCTTCTCAATCTAGATACAGGTGGGACCCCAAGCCAGAGGCAGGCTCCAGTTGTTACTCAAGCAGACCTCAAGCTCCCTAAGCATTTCAACTGGGTTCTCAGAAGGGCAGTGGTCACAGCAATAACCAGACAGTTGGTTTCGGAGAAAACATGGCCTGAACTTGTGATATAGAAAGCACAATCATAGGAAAGAGATGGGGTAGAGAACAGCAGTATGTCTTCCTTCCATTTCTACCTTGAAAACTTCTACCTATGTTTTCTGAATCTAGATACTTTGTGATGTTTCCTGTAATCCTGAATGTATCTTCACTTGTCTTGGTGCCAATCTGTGATATTAATTTGATCAACTGGCTTGCCCTGAACCCGTTAGTCATTTTCTCTGGGTGAATATTTATTGACTCAACTAACTTTCAGTACTGACTCCCTCTTCCCTCTGAGAGTACAATCTAGATCAGAGTAGGGTAGAGGGGTTTAAACCTTGGAGACATCTTACAGTTATCTAGAAATAAAAGAGATGAAGGATACTTTGATGTTTCACAAAGTCAGCACAATTTCAATGTTTAGATTGAGAAGCAGTAGGAGCCTGTGAACCATGAGACCAAGCCATGTTCCAGTGGTTTCCAGGTTAGACAGCCTTTACTTGCAAGGGTGTGCCTTTCTAGCATACTTTACCACAAAGGCAGCCAGTCTTGATAGGCACTTCGTGATTTATTGATCTTTCACAATCTGCTTCTTGCTTGATTGAAATCATTGTGACTCAGCAGAGTTTTTCCTTAGGAAGTATTGCCAAAGGGCATTTTCCAACCAGTGATGCCATAGATTGCAAATTTATCCTTTCAGAAATCTCTTTAGAAGATGTAATTGGTCAGTAGACTGCAAGACCTCTAAACCAAAGGCCAAATCCATGTCTGGCCACATATGTTCCTCCTGGGGAGACATTATACTGCTAACATCACTTAACTCTTTTTTTGTGAACAACATACCTGATATCTTGGACAGTGATTTGTTCATGACATCACATGGAACTGTTTCCTGTTAGGTGGGCTCCATTTGCTAGAAGGTACTTACTATCTGGCTGACTTCCTACAGTTTCTCGCACTGCTTAGATCTGTTACTTATTAGCACATTCTTAGGAGACTCAGACAGTGAGGGATGCACAGCAAAATTCTGTTCTAATGTGAAAATGGTCCAAGAAAGCATTTTGAAAAAAAAAAAAAAAAAGAAGTCATGATTTATTCATTTGGAAACTGTTACAAGGAGTGAGTTAAGATGGAAAACATCTGTGGTATGATGGAGGATTCTTCTAAGCCAGTGTGGTCATTGCTTAAGGTAGAAACTATAAAGGCCTGTAGGAGAACATCTATTGGCTAAGAATTCCAGGAACCCATAAACTGCTTGACCACAAAGAATATATTTCACTACAATTTTGTATTTTACTATTTCAGAAATTCCATTCTCCACCAATATTTCTTAAATGGCTATCATGTAGAAAAAGAGCTAGCTGGATTCTGTGTACCTCCTAAAGGCAAACATTAGGAGTATTATAATAGAATATATCTTTGCAAAATGCTAAAGAATAGATAAGCAAGAATTTCTGGGTGGGCCATGTATAGCTTCAAAGTCCATTTTGGGACCTAGGTAAACAACTGAAAAAAAAAATAATGTCCCGTGCCCTTTTTTTTTCCTTATCTGGACAGTAGAAGCAATGACACTACTATGATAAAGATGCTGTAGAGAAACTGATCATTCAGAATGGAAGTTAAGCACATGTCCCAGTGCCTGTTACATAGGAGATATGCAGTGAAAAGAAGCTGCTTGGTAGATGATGCACTAGCAGGCTGTTCTGCAAGGTCAAAAAAATGATCCACTTACCCTTGCCCTTCATTACCCCCAAAGAGAGCTTAGGGGAGTGCGAGGTCCCAGCTGGATCAGGAACAGAGTGGGAGAACAAGGAAAGAGATACCATGATAAATGAAGACCTCATTGGAATAGGAAGAAGCAGAGTGCTAGAGAGGTCCCCAGAAATCCACAAAGATATCTCCACTATAGACTACTGGCAATGGTCGAGAGAGTGCCTGAACTGACCTACTCTGGTGATCAGATGGCTGAACACCCTAACTGTCATGATAGAACTTTCATCCAGTGTCTGATGGAAGCAGATGCAAAGATCCATGGCCAAGCCCCAGGTGGAGCTCCAGGAGTCCAATCGACGAGAGAGAGGAGGGATTATATGAGCAAGAGATATTGAGACCATGATTGGAAAAAGCACAGGGACAAATAGCCAAACTAGTGGAAACACATGAACTATGAACCAATAGCTGAGGAGCCCCCATGGAACTGGATCAGGCCCTCTGGATAAGTGAGACAGTTGATTAGCTTGAACTGTTTAGGAGGCCCCCAGGCAGTGGAGCTGGGACCTGTCCTTGGTGCATGAGCTGGCTGTTTGGAGCCTGGGACCTATGTTTGGAGTCTGGGACCTATGCTGAGGCACTTTGCTCAGCCTTGTTGTAGGGAGGAGGGGACTGGACCTGCATCAATTGAATCTACCAGGCTGGGCTGACTCCCCAGGGAGGACCTTGCCTTGGAGGATATGGGAATGGAGGGTGGATTGGGGGGAAGACTGGGGGGTGGGAGGAGGGAGGACAGGGGAATCCGTGGCTGATATGTAAAACTAAATTAATTATAAAATAAAAAAAGAAAGAAAATGATCCACAATGGCTATACTTTGGATTTTGAATATATAGGTGAATTGAGTATACAGAAACCAAAAATGAAAGAATAAATATCAAGTAGCAAGGAGATAGATAGAATAGATTGCTAGTAAAATGCCAATGTAGCTGACAGAGAGTCCAGCAGAGACTAGGGTAGTTTGAGTGGAAGAGCAAGTAATTAACACTGTCAAATTGGGGACATACAGATAGATCAGTCAGGAAGGCCAAGGCAGCCAGACTTAGTTACCCACAGAGCTTCCTCTCAGGGTTGGGCTTCTGAACAGAGCAGTCTCTGAAAGTAGAAGGGGAAGCTAGAGAATAAAAATGATTAAAATTCCTATATAAATATATGAAACCATTGAACAATAAAAATAAATTAAATGAAAGTGCAATTCTGGGAGCTAAAATAATCTTAAAAGGTCACAAAAAAGCATTCGAATCCACAAGATCCCAAAAGATCTTTTGGTAGAAGACCTACTTACATATTAATGAAACCCAGAGAAATAAATGAATATAAAGAAAACTACACAAGATACATCATAGCTGAATTACTGAAAGCTAAAATGAAATGTCACATCTAGAGAAAAAGAAATTAAATGATGTCCAATGCCTCATGAGAAAAATTTGCGGCCAGAGACAGCAGAATAATATCCTTAGAGACCTGAAAGAGTAAAAGAGCTGCCAATTCTGAATTTTATATTCAGGGAAAATATTCTTCTAAAATAAAGATATTTTCGGTTAATGGAAATTAAGAAGACGCATCGCCAGCCAACTTTATAATATGAGAAGTGTGAGGAGAATTCAGGCAGAATTCAGGACATAAAGCCAACTGGGAATCTGGACGCTTCAGAAGAAAGGGGAAGCATGAGAAGGGAGAGTGAGTGGACAACTGAGAAGACCACCTTTGTGTCTTAATTTCTCTAAGATACAAAGACTATTTAAAATAAAAGCCATAAGAGTAGCTAGTTGACAATACATGTAAATATAGCACAAATGATAGTTACTGTAAAAAACAAACAAACAAACAAAAAAAAACAACAAAGCGTTTCAACAAACCAATGCATTTATAAAAGTGGTAAACTTTTCAAATAAAATTGAGGAAGATTGTATAGCTTCTAAGAGACCTCTGGGTGTAGGTCAAAGAAAAAGAAAACAGATTCATTGTTACACAATGGTCTTTTCTTAAAAAAATAATTGCATCTGGCCAGTGAATATTTTGTGGGGATTTGCATGAAACAGACTTGGGGTTGGGGGAGGGGGCAGATAGAATGCAATGCTGAATAATGTTTATATTTTATTTATTAAAAAAGATTTTGTGTTAGATAAAATAGAATAACAATGAAAATGTATGGATTATAAAAAGCAATAAACACACACACACACACACACACACACACACACACAAACACACACACACACACAACTCTGGAAAAGATAGCTTACATCAATTTCCCATCAGCTTTGCCTCTTCTCATGATTGCTTCATTCTCATCCCATATCATGGAAAACTTGAATGGTCCAGAATTTCTGCAGAGGATCTTGTGATTTGGGTCTCCTTAGAGCCCATGACTCATATGTAATAGCTTTCCTATTGGAGTCATACCTCCACCCTGTGGCCACCACACAGCATCTCACATGGAAGAACTGAGGTCATCATCTTAGTCCTCTCATAGGAGCACAATAGGATTCATGGGTTCTGGGATGAACAGAAAGGAAGTGTGTAGGTATAAAAGGAACCTGCTTTCAGTATCTAGGAAATATTTTTTTTAATCTGAGAAAAATGAAAAAAAAATACACTTATACACCTATCTGTCCTGCAATAATAAAGGATAATTTACATTTATCTACAATCCACAATGCTGAACATTGAAAGTCAAAGCCTTTAAAATTAGCTGAAGAAGTCCAAAGTGTCATGGCTGTCAGCATTTTTCACCCTTATTCTCACCTACATAACCCACATTATGCTTTTATTAATGCTTCTTCATCCATTATCTTACTTGAACCTGATATTACCTAGAGAGCAAGGGAGGTCAGACAACATTCATCTTGTTCTTCATACAAGAAAACAGCCTGGTTGGAGGAAAGGGAGTTGTCAGTTGTCAGGGTTGCCAACACTTCCTCAGTGGAGGCCTCCTCCTCATGCTAGGAGATTATGGGCATTGAAGCAAGAATTTCTTAACCTGCTGAGACGGAGAGCCCACTAGGTATCAAGATATCACAAATGCTTTCGCTTTTCTTTATTTTTTTATAATAAAGAAGAGCTGGTTTCCAACAAGAAATTTTATTGAATCTAGCTTTCTGCAGTCCGAGGAATGTGCAGGGTTTCAGCTCAGGCATCCGCACACATTGTAGCCCTTCCTACCTAGATTTTTCTGCTGATTTCCTTTGGCAAGTCACCCGAGCAACCAAGCCCTTCATTTTACAGACGTAAAGACTGGGGTCTGGGAACATAACACAGTGAGTTAATATCAGATCTTAAAAGTCCAATACAGCTTCGTTTGTGTATCTCCATCAATCAAATAAACATTATCTGTTTCAGAGGGTATTTTCACATCTAAGACAAAGATTGACTAACAAGACAGTTTGCAGGGACTTAAATACCTACTTGAAATGGCTGAACACTTATTTAAATGGTACTAGTATATTGAGACACTAGGTACTATGGCTTAGCTTAAAATTTAAGAGCTATAGACAATGGAATTCCCTTGGATCTTCAAAAATACTATATTCTTGGCTTAATTTATTTTTGTTTGACTTAGTGCATGGTAAGGAATTTTGTTGGCTCCCTAGGTGATTCTACTGTTCAGTCAGAGTTGAGAGTAGAATGTCTAGATATTCAGTTCCATGAAGGCAAAATCAGTTTCTACTGTGGTCCTTTGTATACAGTATAAATGAATTGAGGAGTTTGTCACCATCTAAGTTTATGGAGAATTTAAGGTATACTACATGTCTTTGTAGGGCCAGAAAACCATTGAAATATCCTATTTGAAAATATTAATGGACAGTGTGGTCCAAAGAAAAGGAAATTGTCACTTCAACCCAAGGGAAAAAAAGGGAAGAACATTTCTTTGCAATAATTACTGCAGTAATAAATTAAAAATAAAGTATATGGGTATATGTATTTTTTTTGCTTTTTTTTTTTTTTGCCAGAAATGTATTTAGAACAACAGATTATTCTTCTAGGAAAGTCAAAATCCACATCAGTAATTCTCAATGGGATTAACACAGGATTATAGAAAATGTAATTAAATGAACCATACTATCTGAGACCCACAAAAGACACTTGACATTGCCTTTGAAAGCCCTGTGTGTCCTGTGCTGGGTTCAGCTTCAGCAAATACTCTACAAACATAGGAGGCGCTGGTGAGTTCGCTGTGTCCCATTGCTTTTCTTTCGTCAGGACTTTAAAAAAAAAATACCATTCTTTTTGATAAATAGCATTAATTTACTGGAAAAATGGGTTTTAAAGTTTGGATTTATTGAAACAACAATGAGATAATTATGAAGCTTTCTAAAAATAAGTGGGTAAGACATCTTTGTATTATACATGGGCATATAAAAGAGCCATTTAAATATGTCCCAGGGTTTATTTAGACTGCTCTGAGCACGATGGGGTGGTCCAGACAGGAACATTAAGAAAGAGACCTCTGAAACAGCCCACCCACATGCTGGTTAAAATCAGGCCTCTGGTAATTGAAAGCAGCTTGACTGCATTCCTCTCTCCTCTTAAGGCCATCCATGCATTAGTTTAGCTGCAGTGATGCCTATGGATCTCAGCGGATAAGGTCATGGAATATATGCTTCTGACAGAAGTTGTGGTTCTGGACACTGGTGACTTCAGGCACTCTCTTCCCTGGTGGTAGTGATCAGTCAACAAGTCCTTGTCAACAATGAAGCCCAACTTCAGACAATCCTTCGTCTCACTGTTTATCTATCAGAAAACAGACTGTTTCACAGTAGCTCTGTGCAGGACCTCAGGTACCAGGGAGAATATGTAGATTAATATCTCTTGTTTCTTTCGCCCCTGGCTCTTAGGAATACTCTTAGGTTATCTAGGGATGTATTTCCCTTTATAAATCCAAGTTTCTTGTTTCCATAGAAATGGCTGAACAAAATACTACATTTAGGGCAGGAGACATCTATACTATGAAAATTGTCTTTAACCTCCTGGTATTTTTTTCTCTCTCTCTGTGGAGTAGGGAGTCCAGGTTTTGTTCATGCCATCTAGTTTTAAGTGTTATCTATCACCTCTGTATTTCAGTTTCCTCTCTTGTCTAATGAAAAGGAAAAAAAAAAAAAACCTTAATAGTTGAAAGTCTCTACCTTATCATCCAAATCTTAAATTCTGGAAATTAACAATGTAACAAAATCTCCCAACCTGAAACAGAGAAGTCAACATTGGTGACAGTTATTCAAGGAAGAACTTTGGGAGGAAGTCCAGTGGTTTCACAAGAAAGAGTTTAAAATCCAATGTTCTTGTGCCCAATCCATTCCTTCTACTGAGGCTAAGAACTTCAGTATCCTCTCCTCTGTCTACTTCCTTACTGCCCTATCTTGGATATGTGAATTCCAAAGGCCATCTGCATGTTTTCTAGAATAGTTCCCTACCCACTACCACCACAGCTTTATTTTCCTAGGTCTCACATAGAGTTTTGTCATCATCAAGAAGTCTTTGATGATATGCCTTCTTCTATCAAGAGCTTTGTAGAGTTCTGATACTTCACTGTCTACGCCTGGCTACTCAGCTCTTAAAATGTAGCTCCTCTGACCTGTGACTTAAGAATGAAATATCCACTAAACTCAAAAACAAAATAGCAAAACAAAACAAAAACAAAGTAAGATAGCTTATTACTTTATATTTTGAATACATACTACAATGATCTGATGGAGGCATTCAGTATATGATAAAATATGTTGTTAAAATTAATTTCTTTAATATTTAAAATATTTACTATTTTTACATTAAATATGTGTTTTTTTTTCTGAAAATGCAATTTACCTATGTGACTTCTGTTACAGTTTCTGTATATACTGCTGGTCTACTTTATGTTAAACCTATCACAGATATTAGTCACTATGTTTAGCGATGCCTGGTAGAAATACTGGTTCCTTGTTTCTGCTTATGTGCAGTAATGAGTTCTTGGAATCTTTTGGAGCAAGTACATTACTTATCAGGGCTTTAGAATGTATTTTGTTGTTAATATTCTTTGTTATTTCTTGGGTACTGGCTATGTTCTGTGTAACAGCAATGGGGAGCAAGGGAACACTTTCTCTTCACAGACTGCATTTTTGTGCTTACCAGATAATGAGTGACAAGCACAGCACCCTTGTTACATCACTTCTTTTTTTAATCTTGCTTTCCCCCATTGAGACTGGTCTGACAATGTTTACCATTTTCAGCATGGTGGCCTGAAGACTCAGTGGCGCTGATGCACACAGCCAGTGAGTAGTAAATTAGCTGTATTCGTCCAAGGCCTCTGACACTGGACCTTACACTCAGTTTTGCCACTGCTGAGGAATCTTAGCTCTGGTTCTCCAAAATTCCTCTGAGAAGTTGGATACCATTAATATCCTGGCCAGTAATCATCAATGCATTCTTAACCAAGGAAGTCCAACTCCTCATGCCTAGATTCAGGACTGGCTCTGTTAGGAGGCTTCTCCTTTGCCCATTGCCGGGGGCGCTATTCTCTAGATTTCAATGAAATCAATGCTTGTGAGCCTTCATGTAGTTCATAAGGATAGGCCTACTGGCTGGCCTTATACCTTACCAAGGGTTGAAAAACGCCCATCCAGGGAAAGTTGTCCAAACACTGACCTACAGACTCTTTCAGACAGAAACATTCAATGAACTATTTCTGTTCTTCTATTTTAGAGGAGATACTTGGTCCCAAGGAAGAAGTACTTTGTCTAAGTTGTACAATTTTGTACTAGCAGAACCGAGATATGCTACAGTTATATGCATCTTCACTTTTGGTCTCGAGATCTTTGGTCCAATCTTCTTTGGAAATTCAGAGACAAAAAAAGGCATTTTATACAATTGCATTAATTCTCTTTACAGTGGCAACAGTTTCACTTTTGGTCAGAAAAAAAGAACTGCCAATTCTTTTCACTCAGATTACTATGCATTTCTACATTTGCTGTTGGGGTGATAAAACCAAACTCTCAGGCTAGTTCATACACAGGAGGTAGAGTCATCTTATAGATAGGGCATTGACCAGTGGGTTTGGCCCCATGGTAATGGTAAAAGGACAGTCACTTAGTTCTTCAGAGAATCAAGTTTACATTTTTGGTCATTTGCATGGTTCAAGGAGAGATGCTATAGTTTCTCTTTTGCTTCTAATTGCTTTGGTTATGGCCTTGAAACCTGGACAATTGCCTATCACTTTGTGGCTGCTCTATCCTTCAGGTACCTCCTAACCCTAATGTGCCAGGCCCTTCACTAATTACAAATGTTTTCTGCTGTCTTTCATTCAAATTCCTGGGAATTCTGATTTCCCTAGTCTGTCATTTGGATACAGATGATACTGAATTGAATGATCAACAGTTAGTTTATGGTTTACTTGTCAGTGTAGCAGGACTGGTTTAATCAACCATAGCTCAGAGTGGTAGCAGACAAGACATTGGATGCGATGGCTATGGCTGT